TAATCGAATTTTTAGAATTGCATTAAACCGGCTAAAATATAATATATATTATTCTGGTTAGTTTAGTTTCAAATTCAGTGAATGCCACAATGGTCAAGTTCTCATTCACCTACGGAGAGGTCAAGGTTTTGATTCTCATCTCCTTATCCTATTTAATTTTTGTAAAAATTAAAGAATTAAAAAGCTTTCACAATAAAAGTGGTAGGAAATTAATCAAAACCGAGACTTCCTATATAAATATAGGAACTCTAACCAGTTGAGTTACAAGAAATGTTTGAAAATAAACAAATTATCAAGTATATCATCTAAAAAATTTATTCATTTTCAAAAAAAACAAAATTCCGACGAATCCAGCACAATCACGGCCGTCGGGACTCGCCTGGTGCTGGGTTCACCCCGAGTACACCACAGGTGAAAGGCCTAACCTTAAAAGTGAGTACTTCTTCTATAGTCAGGATAGATATAAAAAGAAGCTAAAGTCTTATCTATACAGTTTACCAAACAAGTTCCACGAGCCTGTCACGTTACACATAAATACTAACGGAGCGTAAAGGGTCAAATGTTGGAGTTCTAGTTACCGGATATGTTCGTCTGGCTTCATGAACACCTGCATTATGAATCCTTCAGCTTTAACTGGTAAATACGAGACGAAGCTCTTCTTCACTTGTCTTGCAGATATTTGAGAAGCTAGGCAATGAATCAAGTATCAATTGTGGAAAATTCTGCAGTTTGGTAGCAGTGTCATGTTATAACATCAAGAAAATTATGTACTTCTCTGCATATACTCTCTCTATATTGGGTGAATTAATAACTTACTCACCGTATTTTCTAAATTTACATTTTACATACTATTCTTTATTGTATGGTAACGAATGGCGCATTTTGCTGCTATACTAGTTGTACGTACTAAAATACTCTTATTTAAGAATAGCATATATTTTAAGTTGTAGAATAATAGTTGATATATACCAAAAATTATTTTAATGTCATGAAATTTACATTTTAGTTCAAATATGACAAGAAATATTATGTAAATTGTTACCAGCTTTAAAAAAATGAAAATTTGTAACATAAATTTAATTGGATGGTATGTGATGTATTTGTTATTTACAAATTAGGATGTTTTTGTCAATTTAACTATTTACGACGTAAATCTTTCAATTTTATTGAGCAAATAGTGTGTTTAAAATATAATATGTAAAATGTAAATATTCTAAACATAGTACGTACAGTATAAATAGACCCCATCTGCTGTGGCATTTTGTAAATTTCCATATTTTTTAAATTTTCAATTATTTTCTATAAAATAATTAGCATTAAAATGTCTTTTAAGTCAATTTTTTTATATCAATACGTATGGGAATAAATGGGTGGGACTGGACCAAATGGAGCAGGGTAGGCCCTCAAACACCCGAGCTCGGCTCGACCCTAGGGACAAGCCCAGCTCAGCTCCTGTCCAAACCCTAGGGTCGACCATTGGCTCGTGGACTCATAGGCCAAGCTGAGACGGCTCGTTTTTAAAAAATAAAAATAAATAAATTAACAAAATAAACTAAAAAACAAGCAATTTTTTTTAGAAAAAATTAATAAAATAAGCCAAAAAAAATGTTGAACCCGCTCAGCTTGTCGATGAAAAAGTGAATTTGGATCGGCAATGGATCAAGCCTGAACAAGCTGAGCCCACAAGCCGGTGAGCAGCTCGATCCATTTGAACATTCATATGCACAATGACAATTTGATCACGGCCAATTTAAACCCGGTCCTTGCATTAGCACCTAAGAAAAATATAGAGGCAACATGCATCCGCCTCAAGGCTCAACTAGAATATCACTCCCACAAAGTCACAGTGGCATTTCCTTTAATCAATACGACAGTTTATCAAGCTGCAATGTACAATATCTGTAAATTTTCTTACACTCTATTTGGTCCACATTATTTTTTTCATTCTCATTCTTTTACTCATTTTCAACCACACATTCTTCAATAAAATAATATTTTCCATTATATCAATAACTTTTCCTTCATTTTCAACCACATATTCCCCATCACATCAACAGTAAAAATGCATTCTTACCTTCAAAATGTGCACCAAACGGGGGCTTAATGTACAACTAATAGATTATATAATTACTCTCAAAATTAACTTAAATAATGAGTAATCATAACTGAAGAGAACATAAAATCGGCTTTTTACTGAAGTGCCTAGAAGTCTGCATGTGCTACGATGAATTCAATAGTAGGTGCTTCTTTCTTTTTAATTTTATTGAAGAACAGTGTAAAATAATACAAACGTGCCATTCTTACCATGGTGCTAGTAAGATTTGGCAAAAATTGCTACTTCATCTGCTGGATTGCCAGTCATCAAGCATTTTTTCGTCCCCTGTGGCTGTTCAAAAGGGAAACACCTAATGGTTGCTCCGGTTTCTTCTTTGACCTTCAGTTCTTCACTGTCACTGTAAAGGTGAATCAGGCAAGTGTCAGATTTACGAGAACTTGGCAAAAAGTTCTAAAAGGAAAAAATATGTCAGTAAAAAGGAAAAACGGCTAACCTAGCAGACCAAGGTCCCCTTGCCCATTTGCCTTGAGCTATTGCCTCTTTAAGCTCGGCATAAGAACACACGTCCATAATGTTACTAGAGAATAACATTTTCGAGTCAGAATACATAAATGACTACATGTTACTTATATTCTATTCTAAACATATTCAAATGCAGTACATGAAGCATTTTGCATGTGACCAGCCTCTTCCTTCCCCTGCAAGGATGCCAGGACAAAACTCCAGGGGTGGGGAGGGGAAGGATAGGATAGGATACCACAAGCAAGCACACTTCAAAAAAAAAAAAAAAGGAAAAATATGAAAAGGAAGAAGAACAATGCTAATAATGAAAACGGAATTACAAAAGAACTACTTGGTACTTTGAGTAGTAACTGCTTGGCCAAAGTAATTTCTAAAATATTGAAGAGCTTGGCGCATCTTTCAAAATAGAGTTGAGTTCACATCCAACAAAAGAGTAATAAATTCTGCTTCAGAATTATTTACCACTCCTGTGCGTATTTACATTAATATCACTAAAAATATACGACCATGTTCACCAACTACAAGGCTGTCCTAGTTTTAAATATATTATAGAATTTTATACTTCATCATATTCTAAAAATCAAAATTTATTAAAGGATATTCAGTGAGCAGCAACATATCTAATATTTCGTTAACTAAAACTGCCAGCTTCAGAGCAGAATTTACCTATCTCGAAATGACATGGCCGTTCCCAGAAGTGAGGACTGGATCTCATCCAACTTATCTTTAACGTAAGGTACCAAAGATGACGATTCCATGGATATACCAAAAACTTTCCCTTGTTTCCCAGGAATATCTCTTCTAGATACAACCACACTGCTGCTTGAAACGTCGCGAGGTCCAATTTCAATCCTTAGAGGAACACCCTACAAGAAAGCATATCAATGTTAAATATGAAACTTTTAAGGATTATAATGCAACAGCTGCAGAGTAACAGCTGTATATCTATTGCTGTTAGCTTGTGATCACTGTCATTGACAAGTCATTATTTTCACATCGTGCATACAAGCAAATTGCATACGAGTGGATTTCATACAAGCACCTCAAAAGTTTTACAAAAGATCGGCAAACCATTGCATGTAATCAGACCCAACGTCTAATGCAAAACTAAAAGGTTAAATCCCTAATTTATGGATCCTTTTTTTCGGCCGGGGAGGGTGTGTATGCCTTGGCACAGAGAGAGTGTGTATAGTATGAACTGGATGGGAAGACAAGTACCTTCATTTCCCAAAAGTTGAATTTCCATCCAGGTGTTCTCTGTTCGGAATCGTCAATCTTAACCTTGATCCCTGCAGCTTGCAGAATTTCTTTCACAGATGAGGCAGCGTTAAGTACTCCTGTCCTCTCATCAGCCTTTTTCCATATTGGAACAATAATGACCTGGAAGCACTCTGTAGTTAGAATTCATTAAGTTTCTATCAGTATCTATTTGAAATACCATATAGGGCTACCCACATACTCAAGGCACAGATCAAGACATGAAAGAGGCATTTTGAAATAATCAAGTTTTAAATTTGAAGAGTTTCCTTCCACAAAACATAATGCTTCTTGAAGACAAAATCAGACTCCCCCAGAAATTGCATGCATACATCCAATCAATATGTTACGCTGTTTTCACGAATTTTGGCAAAATGCGTTTCCCACTGTTTAAGCACATTGTTAGTAGGTGATTATAATCAACTCGATAAATTGATAGAAATGAGTGATGACTACAAAAAACTACCAAATAAGCATTAAATTGTGTGTTCACAATCATGAAGTGTGGCAAAAATGTTGCCATTCCATATAAACCAAAGGTTCAACACCATGTAATTTTTACATCCAGCACTTCATTAGCAGCAAAAATGTTTCTAAACATTTTTATATGATGGAGGGAAAATAAGGCAAAGCATTAAATGATACAGATAACAATGAAGAAAGTAGTTGTACAACAGTAGTAACATAAAAAAATTTCGGCACGAGCAATCAGTGAAAGCTTCAAATACCTGCACTGGTGCCAGCTTCGGGGGAAGCATTAGGCCAGTATCATCCCCATGGGTCATTATGATACCACCAATAAACCTGGTGCTTATTGCCCATGATGTCTGCCATACATGTTCCCTTTGTCCATTTTCATCAGTGAACTGTACAGTCATGCAGCTATTATAGTTGACTAATAATCAACACATTACATATGCAAAATCAAGAAAACATAAATCATGATAAATCAGTAAGAAAGAACATATAGATCATATTAGATGATAGAAGGTTCATGGATCAAAAAGATGAAAGCTTAGAATTTTCATTAACCTCATATATCAGTTTAGAGCTTTGTTTACCCAGGATAAGAAGTCATGTTATGGTTGAGAGATTATTAAGTGTTGACACCTAGTCTGATGGTTGCAGCTGCTATCATTATGCATAATCATTTGCAAATGATTGTCAGAATTCAGGACTGCAAGGATCAAATATAACCCATCCCTTAAGTCTTGACAACTACAAGTAAAAGCTTGAAACCAAGTATGGCAAAAAACAAGCATATCATATTCTCATCATATTAGATGATACATTGTAAAGATCCAAAGAAATGCTAACACAAATAGCCCCCAAACAAAACACGAGATTAATAGAAGGAAAAGGTTCAACATATGAAGCAGGAAGTTACTAGAGGAAGGCATCTTTTAAGTCTGAAGTTAACGACATACTAGTAAATGTAACAGATTAACATACAAACAAGTAAGAAAAGCATGCAAATAGGTTAAGGTAATTCACTGAATTTGTTAACAGGGTCTGACATCAACCTGGGTTCCAAATGCACGGGAAAAATTCTGCCCAAGGTTGTGGCTTGTTCCAGCCTGCAAAGCCTTCCGATCACCCATCATTGCTTCAATTGTATAGGTCTTGGAAGCACCTGCGAACGTCTCTACCTTCGACTTACGACCTGCAATAACGGGTATTGCAGCTTGCTCATAAGCAAATTTTGTATACACATCAATCATCTGTAATGCCTGCAGTTCAGCAGCATGAATTGGTCAAATTCATATGCAATACCTTAAGAACTTTTAGGAGCATCCTATAAGTAAAAGAACAAGCAAACCTCCATTTCTGCTTCCTCTGGAGTAGCATGAGCTGTGTGACCCTCCTGCCAAAGAAATTCAAGAGTTCTCACAAATGGTTTTGTACGCATTTCCCATCTTGTAACATTTGCCCACTGAAACATATTGACAAACACAAACATCAGCAAGGAATATTCCTCCACTGGAGAAAATGAGAAATGATGTGATGAAGAGACACCTGGTTGATCATAAGCGGGAGATCACGGTAACTATGAATCCATTGAGTAAACATGTGATTCACGATTGTTTCACTTGTAGGCCTAACCTGCCAAAACCTCAAAAAGTGCAACAATCAAAATGGAACCTCAGGTTATATTCCAGAATTTGACCCGCATACAATGAGAAAAATGACGGTAAAAAATATATAGGGAAAGCTGATGAGTATATTTACCACAAGCTTTTCTTCAAGCTCCTTCCCCCCTCCAATTGTCACAAGCGCTAATTCTGGACTAAAGCCCTCAACATGGCTAGCTTCTTTCTCGATAAATGAATATGGTATAAACTGCAAGCATAAGCAGGTTATAATTATTAGTTCAGTACCAATCCACAAAACTTTGTCATTAGCGACTACTTCATTGAAGCAGTTTCATACAGTTAAGTGTTCATTGTCCTTTCTAGGCATGTTTTTAAGTGTTTTATAATAAACTTAGTATGGAGTACACTCTGGAAATAGAGAAGATATCAACCTTGTTGGGATAATCATACAGTTAAGTGTTCATTGTCCTTTCTAGGCACATTTTTAAGTGTTTTATAATAAACTTAGTATGGAGTAAACTCTGGAAATAGAGAAGATATCAGCCTTGTTGGGATAATCAATTTTGAAGTTCTCAAAAGTTCATTCAATGAGAATGCATAAAACTGAAACTCTTAACTGAAAAAAGATCACCCCGATCAAATAAAGGGAAGGTAAAATTAGCAGCAGTAAAACCTTCTCTCTAAAATCAAATGCCTACATTAGCTTCAAACTTTGTAGCTACTCAATCAATTTATTTCAGTTATATTCAGAAAAATAATTTCAAAAAATTGTTGACTCATTATACAGTACTTTCTTCACTCTCCCCTAAATCATCTTAATTTGATTTCTCCACACACCAATTACAACACTTAAATATGAACTGATGAAAATCAAACGGAAATACTCCTATAGAAATTATGTATGCTCTCACCTGTGGGAAATACATATTACTATGACCAGTTTCTTTGAACTTCGCATTCAAATAGTCCTGCGCCATCAACCAATCAATAAAACGATAGAAAATCGCATAACCATCAATCTCGAAAATAATGAGAATTAATTTTAAAATCAAAACAGAAAATTCTAACAACCTGAATAGCTTCCCAAATTGCATAACCGTAGGGGCGAATAACCATGGTGCCACGAACCGGACCGTAATCAGCGAGCTCGGCATTCGCAATGATGTCTAAGTACCAAGAATTGAAGTCCTGCGAGCGAGGCGTAATTACTCTATCTTTGTCTTGCTGGAGTTTGAGCTTTGGAGGACCTTCTAGTTCGGAAGTAGACGATATTTCTTTCTCGGCGGTGCTGCTTTGCGCAGAACAATTGGCCGTATAGAGCCGGCGCAAAGGGAGGTGGAGGTGTCGACGGTGAAGAGCGGCGGCGGAAGAGGGGGAGGTGAAGAGGGAAGTTAGTGATGGGAGTCTCAGAGCACCCATTTGGTGGTGGTGGTGCGTGAGGTAGTGTGGAATTCTGGGTTGGAAATTGGAGATGAGGTTTTAGAAAGGGATAGGCGTTTGTTGATGAAATGCGACTCTCGGAAGAAAGAGTGAAAATCCCACTTTATAGCAAGGACCCTTCTGATTTTTGAAGAGTGAAAAGTTATTTTTAAGTTTGTTTGATAATTTTATTAAAGCACTTTTTTGAACACACAATTATTTTCAACCCTAATTTGCACATCATTTTGATATATTATTTTAAAGTCATGTAAAAATCAAACATTACAAACCAATTCAGCCGATGCATCAACTTCAACTAATACTCTTACGTATTTTAATCGGTGCTTCGTCGATGTAAGTTTATCGGTTGTTATTGGTTTCCCAACTTTAGAAGTGATCTTCCCCAAAGCAACTGCGTTCCAACAATCCAAAGGCAGCTCCAGTAGCGTGATACAAAATTACTTAGTATACTGTATACATGTATTTTGATTCCAACAATCCACATTTTGTTCACCCAAAATTACTTCATTCAATTGATCATCAAAAGATTGGAGCTTGAGACCTACATCAAGTTTTCCATTGTTTTTGAACAAATTTATCCAGGGAGCTTTAGCAGGAGTTTGAATGGGTTGTTTACCACTAAGAACATCATCTTTTGTTACATGAGGTTCAGCAGTCGACCCTTCAGATTGTGTATCTTCATCACCAAGACACTTGGTGATTTCGTCTTCACTTATTCCTTTCCAGAAATCTTTTACAGGATCTTGGGCAGCAAGTTTGAATAAAGTGAAAGTAAAGAAGCATTTTCATCCTTACCTTTTGCTGGAACATCATTTTTATTCCTTGCTTGAACTTCAAACCTATTGCTTGACAGGAATTTGGACCTTTAAAGTTGAAACCCATGCATTGAGAGGTTTTTTCTTACCCATCTCTAAGCTGAATATATGGAAAATGACTAAAATCTGTGCAAAAACTAAGCTGAAATGGATCTTTTTTCACATCAAGTGATCGAACAATTATAGGTGATGTCAATTGATGTGTATTATCCATATAAAAAGGTTTTAAGACTTTTCTGATTGATGAATAAATAATCATTCTGGGAAATATTTAATCCGCAACTCGGGGTAAAATTTGATTTCTCTCAAATCCTTCATTTCAAATTCATTTCTCAAATAATCTACAATTTTGTTGAGCTATTCAAGAGTTCTAATTAAATTTAAATTATTAACATAAACTACTACAATTGTCAATTCAATATATATATATATGAAAACACATGGGCATATATCGTCATTTTTATAATCTTCCTTCAACAAATATTCGTTAAAACGATTATACTACATGCATCCGGATTATTTTAATCTATATAATATTTTTTACAATTTAATTGAGAACATAGTTCTCGGACATATTTCATTTATTCTGGCACTTTAAGTCATTCAAGGACTTTCATACATGTCACTATCAAGTGAATCATACAAATATTCAGTTACTACATTCATAAGGCACATATCGAGTATTTGTGATAGTCAAACTAATTAAGAGTATAAAATTAACGGTCTTCATTACGGAAGAATATGTTTCATTATAATCAATTCATGATCTTTATGAGAAGTCTTGAGTTATGAGTTTGATTTTGAATTTTGTAATTTCATTATTTTTATTTTATCTCTCATACAAAAATTCATTTATATCTTACAGAGATTACATTTTCATATATTCGAATTACATGTCCAAATACTTTTCATATCTCTAAGGAATTCAATTTCACCCATATGGCTTTTTTCTATTTTAACCAATCATTTTTATGTTGACAATTGTTAAAAGATTATAGTTCAGGATCCTCATTTTGATAGTCCAATAATGGCTAACTAAAAAGGGGGTGAATTGGTTATTAAAACTTTTTTAAATAATTAATATAAGTGCAAGCAAGTAAAGACTAAATAGATAAATTCAAATAATGGGCCCAATTGTAAATACAATAAGTAAAAGGGAGAGAGGATATAAACTATATAATTGTAGAGATTCTATCCGAAGCAATGATCTATGTCCTCCGTTACCAAGCTCTCTGGCACGAGCAAAGTCTTTTCACTATATTGATTGACTTATGGTGCTCCAACCTTTTACAACTCTTTATGTAACTTACAAACAAAGTGTACCGACTCTTATACAATGTTGAGCTTTATAGGATCTCAACACGACCAACAAATTTAAACGAAAGTTGATTTTACAATTTTGAAACTTCTCTATTAATAAATGATATAATCAAATTAAGTATTAAGAGCGAAATGGACTAACATTTTAATAAATAGAAATGAATGAAACTCAAGTGTTATGTGAAAAAAACTTCAATGAGTAGAGTGTTCTTCAAAAATTAATTCAATCAAAAGTTTTTCAAACTAAATGATTTGATAAAGATAAATTAATATAGATTTGTTCAAAAATATCTCACATAAAAGCTCTTAGAGTTGTTGTATTGAATGTAGAGTGAAGTGGCATTTATAGCAGTCAAAAACGCCATTCTTATCAATCAGACAACTTGTCCAGACGTTCGTATACTGAATCAGACAGACAAACTAGTCATTGTGCGTTGATTTCAGAACGGTTAAAATTTTGAATGTTGGACAAATTGGACGTCGTTTGGACAAAAAATTTCTCGAATTTTTCATTTTTGATTATTTTGAAGTGTAGGCTTTTGAAAGACGTTTTCACTTAATTTTTCAAGATAAGTGATACTAGTAAATTTCTTAAAAATCAAATGAAATTTCTATCTTTTAAAAAATAATTTTTATGCAAGCATTTTTATGAAATAATTTTTCTCGTTGACAAAATTCAATTTTTGAGATTTTGGTGATTCATTGTTAAATATTAAAACATTTTACCTTTACATATGATTCCAAAGCATCTAATTCTAATTTTCAATGAATACTCGATTTGACGAGAATGTTTGATTTGACATGAATGCTCAGCTTTCATCTTGATTTTTTTATCGTAAATTGTGAGTCTTTTGGTAGCGATTATTTTGTCTTCAATTGATCAATTTGGTTACAATAGTTATGAATACTTGAATTCAATTATTAGAGATAAAACAATTTGTTTGTTAGAATACAAAGATGAGATCAAACATAAGTCAACACATTTTACATAATAATAAGAGCCATATTAAAGGAAAAAATATTGTCTATAACAATATTATTTTGTTCCTATAATTTATGAGATAACATATAATTTATTGAAATTTCATTATTTTCAGACACGTGTAATTCTTTAGGAATCATATTTTCAATATTTGATTGAACAATCTTTTCTAATTTTACTTCTTTCGAAGTTTTTAGTTGGTTTTTCTCTTACACTTTTCTTTTACATGATATAGAGTCCTTTAAACAAATTGATCGACCACCCTTTTAGTCTATTTGAGATTCATTTGCTACAACAGATTTTCTTATAGAAATATCAATTTTTGTTGAAATATTTTCTACTGGAATATATGACCTTTTCACTCTTATTGTGTCAACAAATGTATCGAGTAATTGATTTACAAACTTTGAAAATGGATAATTTTTCCAACATCTTGCTCACATTGATTGTTGTTGGGATCAAAGTGAGATAGACTTGTTTCATTCCAAGAAATCTTACCTTGTTTTTCATGATGTAGTTTTTCCCCTCCCAAAATTAAGAAAGTCATTTAATCAAAATGACAATCTGCAAAATGTGCAGTAAGTAAATCGCTCGTTAAAGGTTTAAAATACCTAATAATAGATGGTAAATCGAAACTCACATAAATCCCAAATTTTTGTTGTGGACCCATTTTAGTACGTTGATGGGGATAAAGACTTGGATATCACGACCAAAAATTTGTAGGCGGGAAATATTAGGTTTATGACCAAATGCAAGTTGCAAATGTGTATATTAATAATAGGCAATTGGTTTTATACGAACCAATGATGCAGTATGTAATATGACATGACCCAAAACAGAAGTTGAAAATTTTGTTCTCATAAGTAATGGTTTACCAATAAATTGTAGACATTTAATAAATAATTCCATTGAATCATTTTTTTGTATGGATACATGCAATTGAATGTTTAATAACAATCACAATTGACGTACAATAATAATCGAATGCTAGCGATTTAAATTCACCGGCATTATCAAGACGAATTGTCTTGATTTAATAATTGGGAAATTGAGCTTACAATTTTATGATTTGAGCAAGTAGACTCCCAAAACTACATTCCTAGTGGAAAGTAGGCAATGTGTGACCATCTAACAGAAGAATCGATTAAATTTTCTCGGCGCCCGACTGCAGCGCTTGAGTGTTGCGTCATTTGTGCAGGTGGCACTTGAGCGCCATGAAGATGGCACTTGAGCGCCCGATTTCTGTTCATTTTTTTTTCTTTATGTTTGTTGTGGCGCTTGCGCGCCATGTTGCTGGTGAAAATTCTTCTTTGTTATCCGGCGCTTGAGGGCCAAATTTGTCCTCCATTCTTCCTCTATTTTGCTCCAAAAATCATTTTTTCTTNCATTAAAAAAAAAAATCCTGGCTCTTTAAAGAATGTCTATGTGAATTTATTATTCGACGCATCATTATAGCTCCTAGATATTCAAGTTGATAATGTCAAAGCATAAAACTTTTTGGATCAACAAACTTCGGTTTGTGACAATATTTGATTCAACCAATTTGATAAATATTTAGTACAAGCCAGATTGGAGTGCATTGAATTTTTCTTTTATCTGCTTCTAGTCAGATACAAAAGAAGTTATACAAAGATATTTAATATTATTTTCTTGCATTGACTCAATACGATATTCATTGTAGTGGACATCTTTAAAATTAAGTAAATGTCTTCTGTATTTGCTAGCATAAAGTGTGTCATTAATATATAATTTTGTATTATTTAATATAATAATAAAAGCTCTTTTGGAGCTTTCAACAATATTCGATGCACCTAATATTGTATTAACATTTTCTTTGCTAATATTAAGACCAGAAAATATTT